AGATTTGGCTCAACAGAGATACACTGTTTACGTGAGTCCCCTTTAGGACTGTAACTCTACACCCCGTTACCACCCGACCCTAAACAAACCCAATCACATGAGTTTTATGCTACTTACCGCTCCATACCCAGGAAGATATTAGCATAGAGCCACTTGTCCAAATAGCAAATGGGAACCAATGCAGTGTTAAGCCCTTGAGAAACGCCCTCGGCCTTGACTCAGCATCCGGCCTCCACAAGTAAGGAACCACCAGAGATCAAGGAGGAGGGGTGTGCGCCCGACCCAACACCCCCCACAGCTCCATCAGCAACAGAAAAAGACCCAAATGGGAGAGTGTAGGGACCGTGGATTTGAGGGGGGTTACATCAGTCGGGAGTGCCAGCCCACAGAACCTCCAGACTGTGGCTACGGACCTCCTAAGGCTACCGTATCCTGCGCTAGACCACTCTCACCCGTTACTGGGCCCAGCCAAGACTTTACATCAGCGGCAACTGCGTGTAAGGAAAGGCACCAAATGGACACTATTCAGAAAAACAACCAGCAGAGGGCGCTACACACTTGTGACACCCAGTGGAGGGTGTGCATTTACCTCTGATACAAAGGAAACCATATCAGAGCAGCTGTTTGAAAAGAAAATAAATAAAATAAAAACAGTTAAATGTTTTTGTTAGAATGCCTGGCATCAGTAATAACATGTGCTTTTGTGTGGAGAAAAAAAAAAAAGTGTTTAAAAAGAAAAAAGTATTTATAAACACTAGGGGGCTTCCTATAGTAAATAGAAAATTTCCTGGTATGTGTTGTTTTCTGTACCTTGTGTGTTTAAAGAAACTGACCCGGCTAATAAAATTAATTTTGCTCCTTTACAAAACTAGGTCATTTTTAAAAAGCTTGTGTCCTGTTGTCTCTTACCTGCCAGCTCGTCCGCGAAGACAGGTTCTCCACAACGAGTCTGTGGTCAGTCCGCACTGGAGGGCCATATCTGCAGAGGCAACAAACACCAGCACAGCTTTGATTACATTTTCTGTAAGGAGCACAGATCCGGTGAATGCATCCAAATCTGAATCTGCCTTTGTGCCTGAAAACACGGCTGGTGTCTCGTCACGTTCACCGTCTACCTTAGGGTTCTGTAAATATTTGAGTTTGCTTCAGAGGTGAAACTCAACACTGGCCAATCCTATTTTAGTGTAGTCCATTAGAGACTCTCAATCCTACTTTCCTGCCACATGTATGCAAATTTGTATGTGTATCTTTCCAGCTTGTATAATATTGGTTGAGCTGTCACAGGACTGTATTTGACTTTGGACCAGATAAACTATTGTCACACCCAGTTTCCACGTAACAGGATCTGTTATCACGTGTCAGAGGTTTACAACCTAATATCAATATTTAATCTGCATCTGTCCATTTATTAGAATTTTATTTATTTAAAATCATTATTTCTTTTTACATGAATATTATCTTTAAGTGCTTTTTATAAAATTATTACTTTGTTTTAAAGGAAGCTACTGAAAATGTGCTGTACCTGGATCCACTGCTGCGAGACTGACGATAGCCGCCGCCACCACCACCACCGCCACCGCCGCCGCCTCCGAAACGTCCCATTCCAGGGCCGCCACCTCTTCCTCTTCTGGAGCGAGCATGCTCAATAGTGACCCTGATGGGCAAAAAAAAGAGGTTCAATCTGTGTTATCAGATTATATACAAAGTAATTATATCTGATTAAATGTGTGCTCCATGTGACTCAGGCATGCGACAGCTCCACCACAGGGAGCCTGACGTCATTATTTTGCGATAAGCAAGGCTGAGGAAAAAGAAGTTATCAGCTCAGAGAAATTATTCTTAATAACTTGGAACTAGTTCTCCTTTCCAGCCACTGTCTGAATGTTTACTTCTTGTTTTGAAGGGCCTCATGAGTTGTGTCAAACACTCACAAATGAGCCTTTAAAAGGTCTGTGGCAGTCTAACAGCACAGAAAGAGGAACCGGGACCAGCCAAGGAAATTTACTTATAAAATGAAGAAGCTGCTCGGTCATAGAGTAAACAGCTTGTAAGGTTCTCAAAAAATAAACTTATTAGAGCTGCGATAAAGTAGCAATTATATCTTGCTGGAAAAAAGTCAAATGTAACCGACCCACACCCACCAAATAAGACAAAAACAACATCATTACCGTTCACTACACAGTTCTTTGCCATTTAGCTCATACACAGCATCATCTGCATCTCTGTGGTCATCAAATTCCTGAAAGGAAGAGGAAAATGTGATTATGTATAAGCAAAAACACTTTGAAAACTCTCACTTTGCACAAAAAAAAAAAAATGCTCAAACTCACCACAAAGCCAAAACCATTCTTCAAGTTGATCTCACGGATGCGACCATAGCCCTTGAAAAACTTCTCCACATCTCTCTCTCTGGCGTGAGGACTCAAGCGTCCAATGAAGACACGGCAGCCACTCATGATGATTTTATCAGCTGAGATGAAAGAGTAATTAGTTAACAGCATCTAGCTCAGCGCTTTTACCGCACAAAGTGTTTACTCGTTGCTTTTTATTTATGTGCTAGTCATGTGCTGCCTTTTATGGCCAAGATAAGCAGGCCACACCCCTTGAAACAAAGGTCACATCCGCTGCAAAAATACAAGTTAATCAACCATTTTCTAAATTGAATATTAACCACAAAAAGGGGGAAAAAAGCAGATAGTTTAAACTACATGTATTTTATGAAACTTTAGCAAAATTAATTATGTTAATCCGTTTTAGATTTGCATGACAAATAACGTAAAGAGACTTGCAATACACTCAAGCTAGGGTGAAAAAACAGGCCCCTGGCAAACTGAACAAAGCTCAACAGGATCGGAACACGCACCATGATCCCACTCCGGTTTAAACGAGTGTAGTTTAGCTTGTAAGCCAAAAAAAAACAAAAAAGGGCTTAGCGTACCCCGACGGTTCGCAGGCTATTTGCATCATCGAGCTCAAAATGGAAGACGGTTTTGTATGGAGCTATTGACTGAAACCGTACAATCATTCTCACGGCTAAATTGTAATTTAAAGCGCGTTTATCAATATTTACAGGTATTTCCACACATTTTCTTCTTATGCGATATGAAATGTGCAGACAGCACAACAACGGCGATCAAGGGGCCCGTTAAAACAGCTCAATGGATCTGCATCAAAGGAGAAAAAAAAATAGTCCGATTGCATTGCAGGTAATCAGTAATGATTAAATAATCGATTCTCTCCGATTATGAGACACCAGAAAAATGACTTGGGGCCTTGCCAATCGGCCTCAGATAAACCATCGGCGTCGATTATTATTGCAATCCTACCTTAAATTAGAGGATCGCTGGTAAGGGGATGTAAAAGACTGCGGATCTGACAAATAATGTGCTATATTAGCTGGGTAACAGTAAGCACAAGCAGGCCTCATCACAATTTCGCTCTTGACGCTCGCCTCGAGGTCATCCCCAGCTAGCCGAAGCTAGCCTGTGACCTAACTTCGGTTTCAGCGCGAAGAACGCGCCAATTTAATGTTTGACAAAAATCGCAAAATCCTTGAAATAACACAAATACGCTTTAATAACCGCTCACCTGTTTCTTTGTTCCTAACAGAGCTGCTTGGGCCTCGTTGCTTTCGCTGCTGGCTCGCTCCTGCTCAAAGTAGGTCACCGACTGTGCTGAATCAAAATGGCGAGTGAGCATAAAAAGAGCAGAGACCGCAAAATGCGTTGCTGCCCTCACAGTGTCACGTGATTGCAGCAGGTAACGCTTAACTAGGTTTACGCTGTTAGAGCCATGGGCTTTACCCCCAGTAATATTTACAGCTAAAATAATAAACCATCCACATAAAATAACAAAGAATGTGTGCAAACGACAAACGAGTACATGCATTAAGGTTAGCGTCTTCGAATACTTGAAAGGAGGATAAGACACAGATTTGGCAACTCATATCAGCCTATTCTTGGGTACGCAGCGTTCTGCATGCCTTAATCTTAAGTAATTTTCATACTAGTTGCAATGATTTTACTCCTTTATGATATTATTTCCTTAAGGATTATTAAAATTAGTACATAATATATCACAAGTAGGGTTAGTTTTCAAGAAAATTAAAACATTTTTTCACATCCTGTATCGCAAGCCCTACAGGCCTCATTTCCTAACCGTGCTGAAGCACAAACCTAAGCGTAAACTTGCCACTCACAAAACTCCTACTCTGTTTATCAATATTGAATTTGTTCTTTATAAACCAATTTATAAGTACCTCTTACCATGGCATGAACAAATGAAGGCCTGGCTGTGTTAGGAAGCTAAAACGCAAGTCTTTAAAATAATTACTACTACTACTACTACTACTAATAATGTCAAACATGTTTTTCCAAAATACCAAAAGCCAATGCACATAATTGCAGTTAAAATAAAATAATAAGAATAAAAAATAGAATTGCATGTAAAAATACAAAATACTGCATGTAAAGGCGTAGACTTTGACCTTTTAATTTAAATCTTTTTCTTGTATTCCTTATTTCATATCAAATCTTAAACTAGCACACCTTTCATTGAAAATGACTTTTTATTGCAATCCACGTTCTTTTTTTTCTTTAACTTTATCTGGCTTCCTGTTTATTACTTCCACCAAGGAGGCGATGCGTTCGATATTATTTGCATGAGTGCCTGTCATTCTGTCTGTAAACAAGACAGCTTGAAAAGTTTTGAATTAATTCTGATAAAACTTTGTAGGGGTGTAGAGTGAGTTCATGTTAATGATCCATTAAAATCTGTCTCACATCCACTGATGTCTTCAAGGTGAACTTAATGATTTATTGGTCAACAGCTGACAAAAAGTCTTGTAACCTGTTTCGTGTGTATTGTCGACATATAAAAAAAATACCTTAAAAGACTTGAAATATTATGTCACAATTGACCTCTGACCTCTTCTTCAAGGTCAAATATGGTCAGACTTACAAAAAATGCCTTTTATCTTTAACACTATGCTTAAAATCCCACAGCCTTTCTTTGTATTGGCAACATTTAGGAAACAATACTGGTAAACTGGGATTCTAAGTATCACATGGATAGTCCCAATTGACCTCTGATCTCTCTTTTACATTTCACATATGCATTTCTTTCAAGTTGACCAAAAAATGTGTTATTCTTACTGCACTGCAAACATTTTTAAATTATTTTTCTTTAACTATTAACACTCCCGTGGAAACATTTTGGAAAGCTGTGCCTTTTTTCTAACTTTCTCTTTGTTTGTTTCAGTTTCTTCTGTCAGACCTTCCTTCCTGTCTTTTCTTAATGGCTTCTTTCTTGCAACATTGTCGCCAATTTCTCTGCTTCAACAAACTCATTAAAACTGTACAAACCCTGTTCTTGTATTTCCATGTATCTTTGCACATTTAAATAAATTGCGGCACCTCTTTCACCTTTTCCTATTAAAATATAAAGAAATGAGGGGTGGTTCATGATTCTTTCACAGTACTGAACATCCAAAAGATAAAAGAATAAGTATTTTATACTAAAAATGTGAATGATAATTTGAAATATACAAATATATGCGTTATGGTCCTCCAGTGCCCATATTTTGGAGTACGGTATAACAGAAGAAGCCAGGCATCACTTAGGATTCCATCTCTTTTATTCTAGCACTATCATCATTGTTAAAATTGTCCTGGATTAGGAAAAACAAATACAAGGTTTAGGTTGACACAGTACAACAGAAAAAAAAACCTGTCTGGTTTGCTTTGTAGAAAGTGTTGAAGACTTTTGAGCATGTAGTACTGATCACTGTACACTCCCTCTCCCTATCAACTCAAAATGAACCAAAAAGTTGATCACAGCACACTTCAAAAAAACTAAGAATATGCCAACATATAGGGAGATACGGTAGCTTATTTATGAACAAGAAGAAAATAAAATGAAAAAGTTAATTTGCACTTTTGAGCCCATTTATGAACGGGATGACTGTCACTACTACAAGTATGTGATTTCCTTCCTGAGAAAAGAAAGCTGTCCTTCAACGCACCACAGCAGGAGAGGTGGGGAACAAAGATTCAAACACGTGGCCTCGTCTTCTTCAAGCAAGGAGCAGGTCTTCATCGTTGTAACAGTTTCTTAATCAGGGTCCAAAGTCATTGATGTCATCTTTTACTGACATGTATGCTAAACCTGCAGTGACTGGAACTAATTTTACGACATCACAATTTCCCCCCTCTGAGAACGTGAGCTTCTCTCTCTCTATCTCCTCATGATGCCTCATTATTTTAAAAGGCTCAAATACTTTCTGTAAAAACATCACTGGGGAAATCAATCAATATAATATGTACTTAGTTAACAGTTTTATATTAGGAAAAATGCTCTTTTATACTGTTGCGATATTATCACCAGTCTAATGTTCATAGGATTCATATCTAAGAAACTGTCTACCTCAGTTTAGCATGACAGGAACTAGTTACAAGGACTAGCATGGTTCTGTAAAAAGGTCACATAATCCTCCGCTAACACCTCTAACATGTTGTATATGGCTTGTTTAATACTCACAAACACTGTGCAACAACCTCCTTTTTTGGTTGGAACCAGGTGTCTCTCTGTGACTGGTCCCAGTCAAGAAAAAGACCCACAGGTCTTTTTTCCCAGTCCTACGCCTTAGTCTGATTAAACAAACACAATATAACTCTGAGCTTCAGTGATGTTTACCTGCTGGCTGTAACTCGATATTAACTGTACAGGCATAACATGGACTTTATGTTGTATTTTAAATCTAGGCAAGAGAGCCAACGGGGGTATTTAAAAAGAACATTATCTTTAATGACTTCTGCAATTTAGAGGAAACACTGAATGTCTGTCGTTCTTTCTCGTGGCAGCTCGGTCTCAAAGGTGAAAAAGATGTCATCCAGGGGAAATCTGTCTGTAAATGTCTATTTTCCCTTTCTGTAAGTTAACGCACCTTTATAATATAAAGATCACTTGGATATAAAAGTATAGACAAAATGTGTTCTGGGTCACAAAGTCAATATTTGTCAGAGTAGCAGCTTGACTTTCTTTGTGTTTGTGTCTCTGAGATGTTCACAGATCGTGACTGGGCTGTCCGAGGCTGTGTGCACAGCGGCACTGTTTGCCCTTGATTGTTTCAAACCGTCTATGTTTAAAACAAGCTTGAACGAAGGTAATCGCTTTAAAAAATAGAAGGAGCTTCTATCTGAAGTAAGTTAAGTGGGATCTTTTGTTAATTTCTTTCCACATGCAGGACTTTTACTCACTCAGATTGAACTCAGGGAACAATCAAATCTTTTTCCTTTTTTTTTTTTACCCGTTAACCCTCTAAAATGGCCAAAGAAAAGTTCCAAACAAAGAAAGCCGAATCAACAACATCAGGCAAAGGCCACATAGAGGTTATCGAACGAGAACTTGTTGGAGTTGAGCAGATTCCTGCTGACGTAACCATCCAGTGTCTATGTGGTCATTCTACAAAAGCAGCTCTGAAGGCAGGGCAGGGAACAAGGCTGACAAAGATTTCAAAGTTTGTGGAAAAGACTAATAATAACATACTACAAACTTCAGATCTACAAGTAGTCACTGTCAAAATCAGACACGCACTTCAGGGCTCAGGGAAAAGCACGCCCTCGTCATGCTGTCGTCTGCTGAAAGGACAAACGGCTTCTCTGTAAGTCTGTAGGCCTGAAGTCTCTGGCAGCAGCTCTCTTTTCAAAAAGGAAACTCTTCTTTTCCTGCCTCTTTTACGCAGAGGACAAACAGTATGAGGTCAGGTGGTTGTTCAAGCCTACTAATGCCATCAGAAGCAGTGGTGAGAAGGCCCAGAGGTCACGTCACACTCTGGTGTGACGACAGCTGTGGGAGGAGCCCGAGCCAGCGGCCGTGGCTCCAGACGGCGACGAAGGGTCCTCGTCGCTCGACTCGTTATGCTCCTCTTTGTGAAGGCCGAGGCTGATGTGGCTCTGCAGGGCGGCCGGGGTTAACCACTCCTTGGGTAGGCAGCTCTGCAGGAAAGGGATGCAGGAGCTGAAGTACGCCAGTCTGTTGACCCAGCGGGGGATTTCCCGTCCACACAGCAACTGAAAAAAGTTTGAATAAGTGATGATAAGAGCTGTATCCCACATACTGTCTTTGTTTTAGCTGTTTTAGAGCATAAGGCATTTAAACATTAGAAGAAAATGTGGTTATAGACGGTTATGTGGATGTGTTCCTTATTTCTCTTTATGTATAATGAAGTTAAAGTCTAGCGGCTGACTAGCAGACCTCAGTAAATGGACCATGGCCCAAGACCTCAGTATGGCCTAATAATTATCCGTATTGCTGTTTTAGAGGAGCAGTGCTTCAAAGGATAGTTGCAGATTTCTGTCAGAATCTGCAGATTATACAGTACAAATAAAATGTTCACGTTGTCTTCCAAACAGTTTCACTAACATCTACACTGGATGGCCAGGAAGCGTTCACGTTGTCTTCTCGGGCGCTGATAATTGGCGTCTGTCTTGTGTCAGTGACGTAAAAGACGGATTTAATGCGACATGACCGTTCAAACAACAGTCGCTTTCTAAAACATCAGATATGTATCGGATTCAGGACCACATGCGAAAGTGACCCAGGTCGGATTTGGACATATCAGATTTGTGCTGTTCACACTGACATACCATGATCGGATATGGGTCGCATAGGGACAAAAAAGTCGGATTTGATGCGCTTTCGCCTGCAGTTAGTATCCTACATTTTGTTTTGATGCACGCTCAATCATCCAGGTAAGGAAATCCCAATTTTTTTTTGAGATTTCCTTACAGCTTTTTGGGGTACATCCTACATTTCCCAAGATGCAGCTTGACCAAGTAATGCAATGCTACTGCAGGATGTTTTTTCTTTAATTGGGTTTTTATTGGTAAGCCACCAATAAAGAGGCAGAAAAAACGACTAAGACTAGTGCATTAGTGCCCTTAGCGATGCTCACATTCATACAGGGATTTCTTTATTTTGTCCACTTTAAGCACTTTATCTACTTCATACCTCGTAGTTAACTTTGCAGGCATGTGTTTGAAAAGAACATTTGCATAATACTGCACGAACCCCAAATTGCTGACCTCATAATGGTGCCGGAGGAAAAAGACAGCAAGGGTTGTCTTCAAAAAGTTCCTACCTCAACAAATACCATTTCATTCATGACTGAAATTCCTAGTGTGGATTTTGGTGGTATGACTGCTTGACACGATGCTTACAAAGCATTACTAAAAAATTACAAACAGGCAATGTGTTGTTAAACAAAACATATTAAGTTATCTTAGCAAAGTTGATAACCTTCTATCTGTCATAATCCTAGGGTCTTTGCTATTTTTCGATTATTTGTGACTCGGGACTTCTTGCATAGCTTTAATTTTGAGTTTCTGTTTTTCTTCCTTTATAGAATGCTTCTGTTTTTTAAATTATTCTTTTACAGACAGTGTTATAGTCTAGTTTCTATGGAATTACAGTGTCTACTTTGAGTTTTTTGTTCTTCATGTGTTTACTTCCCTCAGGGTTTCCCTAATTTTTCCTTCCTCTGCCTCATCCTTCTCTTTTGTCTTTGACCTGCAGGCCTTCTTTGTCTGTGTCTTCGTGTTAACGTCTGAATATCTTTATCTAGATATAAAACCCCAAAGCTGGATGCTTTACAACTACTAAACTGTTTGTCCTTTTATTGTTCTTCTCCTGTGGTAGTTTGATGCTGAATGAACCTCCTGAACCACAGAAGGCACTTTTACAACTTTCACTAAGACTGCTTGTAATGACTTAACTGACCTTCGATGTGTAGCTCTAAATGTATTCCTGTGCACAAATTTTCGCTTGAAAAGGAAGATTTCTTTTGTCTTTTTTACAGGTTTTTACTTAGACCTAGAGGAACATAGTTGTATGAGACTGACCTCAGACAGCGAGGAGGAGAAGTGGTTGCAGTTTTTGTGCATTAGATGGTAGGCGTTCCCTTTGAACTCTTTACCGAGCTCCTCCATGATTTTATCTATGTCCTCCTCTGTGAAGTCAGTGGTGCCCAAAACAATGGCCTCCCTGTTTAAAAGCAGAAAGAGTTATGTGAGCACACTCACCTCCACCATTAACAGCATCACAGTGCACTGTATGCTAAAATGGAGCACGCTCACTTGAATTTGAATGTCTCTCCCAGTTCGGCAGCATTGCCGGGGTTGATTTCAAAGATGCCACTGAAAGGGTATGGATGGCCTCCATATGCAAATTCTGTGTGGCAGAGGACAAAGAGGCAAAACACAGGTTAGCGCTTTGAATGAAAGCACTGAGTAACTGTAATTACACAGAAGCACACAATTAATCACAGACACACTGTTCTTAAATCATTAGGCCTGTTTAATTGCAGGTCTCTCAGCCCTTTGTTTACAGCCTTCTTAGGAGAAACTGTGATCAACAAAGTATTGCATAGAGATGCTTAAACATGTAGCTAAATGCAAGTTAGTAAATACTAAGTTAACTAAACTACACCAATAAAACCTCCACCTGATTTTGTCCAAAAGATGGACTAAATGCAACCAAGTCTACGCGTTTTATACTTTATTATTAGGTCCAAAGTAGCGTTAGATCAGTGGCAGTATATTTAATTCATGGGTCATTAATTCAAACTCAGGTTATTATGAGTAAATTCCATTAATGGAGTCATTTCCTCTCCTAGTAAAGCCCATATTTTCGCTATCATCATATTTCTCTGTGCAGAGAGCCAATATTTCCAGTTGCAAGGATGTAATGGATTCCCAGTGATCTGGTTTCATGCTGGTTTCTGCCTCTATTTTAAAACCAAACACACACACACACACACACACACACACACACACACACACACACACACACACACACACACACACACACACACACACACACAGTGAGTCAGTGATGACTCAACCCAGGGAAATGGGGTCATGATATTAGGAACATAACCCGTTATTCCATTTTTAAAACCAGACTTCATCTGTGCAGTGATGCACCGCTCCGAGTTTCCACTCGTAGTGTTATTCTGATGCCACTAACTTGGATTTCAGAGACATACAGGAAGCTCCATTCTTACCTCTCCCATAAATCTCAATGCCTGAGTGGAAGACACCAATGCCCAGATTGGACGTGTATTCGTTTATCCAATACTGCAGAGAAACACAGAGAGAAGGAAAGAGTCAGGAAGGAGAAACCATGCGGCTGCCCTGCAGAATCACACTGCGGTCTATAATAGCGCTGTCTTATACTTTATTACCAAATAAGAAGTGAACGGCTTTGACTGCACATGCATCTTTTAGTGCATTTTGGACATTTTTCAACTTTCTTGGCATTTTTAGAATACACTTACTCTCTGTACTGTTTGTATAGGCCTGTGCAGTAAAGCTATACCAGAAGCTTGCTCTGTACAAAGGTGACGAAGCCTTCCGGCCAGCGGCTCTAAAGTTCACTTTTTTATAATGTTCAATTAAACCAAAGTGTGGGTTACATGCTGGAATATTTCTTGGCCTGGAGCAGGGAAACTACAGAGTATAGCTGTACTTTTCTGTTACCTCTGGAGAGAGCCAAGCTAACCTCTTCAGTCCATCTTTATGCTTAGTTAACCTAGCTACCACTCAGTTTCTGCTACATTTAGGTTCTTTTTTTGTAGTTTTACACAAACACCATGGAGGCTTTTAAATAACAATACAATACAAAAGTCTACAAATAAAAGAGACATTTTTAATGAATTCAATTCATACAGGGGGTTTAGAAGCAGTTGCAAACCATTGGTTACACTAAAGAACACAAAGTCATCTGACTGTTGCAAGATTTTTAGTTTAGCATAAGATGCTTGTCCTGTAGCAGAATACTACAATTCCTCCTACTGTTGGTAGAAAGTATTTAATTTAATTTCCCTGCACTTTAGAGCACGAATCAGTGCATTTGTTGGCTTTACCTACACATTTCTATTCAGATTGCAAAAGCATTGGCATACCAGCATCCACTGAGAATGCCCAGTGATGGATAGATTTGCCACAGAACAGCATTGCGATCAATCACAGACTGGACTACGGGAGGAAATTTTACCCATCATCCTTTGTTGGTGGTGTTGTGAGCCAACCTGCTTGCCCTTCACTGCAGACAGTTATGAGATAATTCACTGAAGGTCCAAAGCTCCCTCACCCAACACCCACCGACACTCCCCTATCCTCAGACACCCCAGGGAAAACATGCTAAGAGCCATCCTTGCTACCCCAGCTGTCCCTTATTAATAATAAATCATGTTTCCGGACGTAGAATAATACAATAAAAGCATTTCCACCGCATTGCTTCGTGTCAGCAGGCTCTCCTCATGTTTTTGCAGTGACCTTCTGCCTTTTAGCTCTCACATGAGGGATGGAAGAATAATACAACCAGAAGGAAACAGTCTACAAGGACAAACATGTCCAATGACTTGACTTCCCCGAGAGTGCACAAACAACCGAGTCCCATTAGCGGAGCTTTCTTTTATTTCCTGCCTTTGCAGATAAAGCATGCATCGCTGCACACATCTACAAATCGCTTAGATTTCATTTCAGAGATGATTGATTCATCATCCTCGTCGATTTACTCTCATCCTGCTGCTTCCTCTTCTTGTCGTGCTGAATTCCCCACAAATTATTTAAGGCTGACTTTGGCTGTCACCGCCCTCGTGATCACTTTCTCCCAGTTTAACAACAACAACATGACCTGTTAAGTCCCAGCACAGTGGAGCCACCACCCTGGAATTTAATCAGCTGTTTAAGCAGCTGTTACTTCTGCTGTCACAATGAGATCCTCATCTGTGAGATAGTTTGAAGTTATCAGGAGGGAGCTGCCAGGTCCAAAGCTGCACCTGGCTTCGTTTGTGGTTGTACGCAAGTGCGTGCCAGTATACACTCTCAGTTCTGGTGTGAATCATGACTGTATTCCTTCTCCAAACAGTCTTAAAGCTTGGAGATGAAAGCACTTGTTGAAATATTTAACTTCACTAAGAATAGAAAAATGTGGGATTCAAATACCTAGTGGGGAAATTTCTTGCTTTAAATATAAGCTCTACAGTTTTATTTTACAAGTGAGAACCTTCCCTTTAAGAAATCTTCAGGAACAGTTCTCCAGGCTTTGTGGAGACCAGTCTATGACTCTTGCATGTTTTTTCTATCCAGGTTTTTACTGCATATACAGTGGGATTACTGTCATGCTGAAAAATGAAGGTGCTGTCAGATGCTTTCCACGTGGTATTACATGGTGTCTCACAATATGATGGTACTTTTCTCTGACCTGTGTCAGGTCTTTGTTGGATTCCCCCTAATTCTTAATAACTTTCACATACTTTTAATCTGCTGTAGATAGTTTTTAAGGCTGACACTTCTTTTGTCCTCCACTTGTCCACTTATCTTATTTTTTTAAAGAACACATTGTACAGCATCCTGAGATATGACAAGGTTTTGACTGATAGCTGTTTTGGTGCCTTATTAGTACAAAAAATGTTATGCCTGTCAAATTGTTTTATATTTGCCATTTTTCATAGAGTCAACAAAAGAACAATTTTTTTCATGACAGGCTGTTAGTAACAAAAGTGCCTAAAGATACAGTTTAAAATGGGTTCTTTGCTAAGCTGTCCGTCTGGTTCATCCCTTGAGTTAAATTCTTTTTTTATGCTTGAATGATTCATAGCTCTGTGGTAAGTGGATTAAAAAAAACAAAAAACACTTCTGAAAACAGTCGTGTATAAAAAGTGGCCTGAAAATGAGTGAAAAGGCACCAAATGTCTACAGAAAAACTCTGAAGGACCTTCAGAAAGCTTGGAGAACTATTGCTGATGACCACTTTAAAGTTTACAAGAAAGTCTGGATCCTCAAAATATAAAGAAATGACACATGCCTCAAGATTTCTGCAAATTACTTAATTACTCATGAATGTTTTTTTTATATATATTTTTAAAATTCTCTTCTGTCCTGGCTTTGAGATGTAGCTAAAGTCCACCATTTTGCTTTATTATCAAACTTTGTCTTGGATACTGAGTGAAATCCCTGAATTTACAACACATTCTGTGTTTGTTGTTGCACAGAATCGTATTTTATTTGTCTGCATGCTGCTAAATGATAACATTGTTTCAATCTAAATGGAGGAATTCTGCATAAGATTCACACAGGACACTGCTCAGCAGTACAGTATGCGAAAACAGCCAGTGGGTCCAAGTCTGAATGAGGACCCTTGTCCTTTGCTGGTGTGTTTGTGTATACATATGATGTGAATCCCAGGCACAGAGACAGAGGTCAGAAGATTGAGGGAGTCTCTTGTTTCACAGGTCTGTGGTTGCCTAGTGGCCTATAAAACAAAATGTTCCTATCATTCTTCTTTTCTTTCTTACTTTCTTCAATTTAAATGTCAGAGATAAATGATTCCACCTGCCAAATGGGGCTCACAGTTAAATAATGCCTAGAATAAAACAACGTAGTCACGTCTGCAGCAGACCAACCTACATGCTGAGCGGCTACGAAACCACCCAGGCTCTTCTTCACTTGGCGTTGCAGTAAATCTTTGAAGGTGGGTGTAACAGCAAAAAAATTATACAAAAAAAATGCTTTGTTTTAGTGTGACACTACAAGAATGTGAAGTGGAAACCTCAGCTTTAAAAGTGATACTGTAAGAGTGGACTTTGCTGCAGGTACCCCACTCCCTGGTTTTCAAAGCATGAGCACATGTGGATTCCTTCACTCCCCGTGCTCCCCAAGCCATTGTTCTGAGTGTAAATACCAAACAGAGGACAGTGACTAAAAAGAAAACAGAAAGCGAGTGCACTTTGGTTCAGGTGGATCCTTACCATATCATACACGTTAAGGATGACGGGTTCATTAGCCATGGTTTTAACCTGAGCTGGAAAGGCAAACCTTAGTCCGCGTTTTAAGGTTGTCAGCACCTCCTCACCCGGTGGAGTCACAGGGCCACACGGTGGAAGGCAGGAGCTGCAACGGGCAGACCTCTGCAGGAGGGACGGCCGATGCTCATTCCCCCACAAGGCAACAAAACTGCATGGACGCAGCTCCGCGCGTAAAAGTCTAAAGAAAGTGGGCAGCTGAGGGCTGAGATAGATGTCACAGAGCCATTACGGCAAGTACGGTCAGGAACTCAGATCCGAGCAGGGCAAAGCGAGGTGCAGCAGTGAAAGAGGCCCATCTCCGAGCCCCGAAATATAGTCAGCTGTTAAGGGAAATCGATGGTGGCAGCAGGCGCCTTTGCGTAATAACAGCAACCACGGCACTCAGCTCACAGCATCAGATCAGGGGTGATGATGTGATCCATAGTCGACACGAAGGCCCTGCATGCGCTGAAATCCGAGGCGGGTGCCCTCCTGTCATCATGAGCGAAAAGGCGACAGCTAGAGCAGATGGAAGTCGAGGATGGAGGCGGAGTGCGGGCCATTTTCACGCGGAGGATGATGGAGCAACTGCGGGAGGGAAAGACTCCTGGGCCATGGCGGTTAATTACAGCTGATAGGGGAGTCAAGTTCAGCAGGAGCATCCCCAGCCGGTGCTGCTGCTACTGCTGGTCAGCATCAAACATCCTCTTCGTAGAGAAGGGAGGACAGCAGACTCAAACCTCCGCGATACGACCCCCAAAACATCGCCGATCCTCTCCCCGAGACCGCTCCACGAAGGCTTCCAAATCGGTTTCACCAAGTCCCGAAGCGGCCGAGATGCATCCGTATTGTGCGGCTATTATCCAGCTCTGGCTCTGCCTCCCCGGTTGATTACATCATATGTGCCTGCAAGGCATCCTCCAACAGCTGATGGGAGACAGAGCCGCTGGTGGGAGTACAGGAGCACATTTTGTTACAAAAGACACCTCTTTACTATTTCTGTCAGCCCGCTCAACAGACTGAAATGCTCTTAATGTTCCACCTCCAACTTACACCGATTTAGGGAACACTCGGTTTAAAGTGAGAGAAACAATTTCAGCGTTTTGTGTACTTAAAAAAACTCAACTGGTGCTACACTTTAACACAAAAAGGAAAAAATACTCTTAATATTCGCAAATCCACTTTTACTTTGAAAAACAAACAGACCACATCCGGTGTTGGTCAACGTCCAAATTTCCAACCAAAAAAAGAAATAAAAAGGAAAAAAGAGATAATTTATAATTTCTCTTTAATGTCAGATAATGAAATTATTTGTTTTCGTGTTTCGGAAATCTCAGTTTTAAAAAAACGAAACTCACTAACCAATAACTTTAAATAAAAAAACATGAAAAAAAACTACTTAGACTACATTAAAAACTTAAGATGTGCACGCATTCCTAATTTACTATCCTTTTAGAAACTTAGATGTAAATTTGGATGAATAAATTAATCCGCTTATGATAAAGTATAATGGCTGGATGGGCACTTTGTTTGGAACAAATAAATACAATTACAGATCAAACTATTTTCAATCTACAGAGAGGATTACATGAAATAGGATAGCAAAATTAATACACATGCAGATGATGATGAAACATATCGTTAGCTTCATAGCATAAGTGCCTAAGTCATTTTTTGGTCAAATTGAGATTTTTGCCTAACTTTACTCCCCTACCACTGCTGCATCATCCTGTCCGTCTGAAACACAAAAAAATGACTTAGGCACTTATGCTATGAAGCTAACGATATACTAACTTGCTATATTTGCTTTAAATGTATATATTTATATATATATATATATATTAAAACTCAACCTCCCCCTTGAATTAGTAATTCACCTGCTTAAAGTCACCTCAGGTTTGACCCTCAAAGCTAAACACAACATTGTAGTTTATAATTAAATGGCTCACAATTCTAAACATCCTGAATTTGCAGTTCTCTCTGACATTCCTTATTGAGTACTTTTTATTTTGTGCAATCTTCCACTAGCGTCGTGTTTTTATTCACTTAAGTAAAACATTACTTGCCTTAAAGATCGACCTCCCCCCCCCCAAATAACCCCAAACTAAAAATCACAACCCCCCCACACACACACACACCAGTTAATTCTTCATGAATTTTAATAGTTGCCTGCTGGATGACAAACACACAGTATTTGCATATTTTATTACACTTTTCATATCTTTCTCTGAGATACTTTACATCCTACCGTCTCACTCAGCAAAGCAACATGAAATGTATTTACAGACCACACACCACCACAGTGGACACGATTCACTTCTTCTTTACTTGCACTATGGTCCTTAATGGAGGAGTTGCATGATTGTGGCTAGTGCAAAAAGAAACGTAAAAACATCTACAGAGGCTGACAGCAAATCGTTTCTTAGCTGCGTTTCAGTGTCGAGCTGCTGTTTGGTCCGTCAGACAAATACAAACAATTTCTTTCGTATGTTCATCTATGTTCAAGCTCAGCAGGAGGTTTAGTGTCTTTATACACACTGGCCTCAAATCGCAATAAGATGAGTGTTTCAGCCTGAAGAAATGAGCCTGATTTCAGATCAGCGGTTCACCCTGAGTGGCCTGACCAAGAGTTTTTTTTCTAAGGTACCAAATTCATACTACTGAGTTCATATTACCAAACTGTGGACAAGTGTCACAGACTAATAACCAAATATTAGGTGATTTCACTAACCCATCTTCTCATAGGTTAGCTGTCTGAGCCACAGGGCTCTACGCTGTCATCCAGCTGCTCTGTTGCACCAAGTAATGTTAATCCCACACACAACTTCCTGTACTTGGAATGCTCATTAGAACACTGAATGTGTATTCATCTGCAGCTGAAAACAGTCCCCAATAAATACACCATTTCCTCCTGCTTGAGTAAGGTTTTCAATAAATTTCAGTCACCAGAAGTCTTTAAATAAAATATTTTTTTTTATGTAATAATATATCTGATGTCTATTTTTAAACATTTAAGAGAGACGACTGGCTCATTATAGGTTCTGGTCTTTTAACAGGCTACAGTGAGGGCGGATGGGTCTGATTTTCATTTTGAGCAGCAAAATGAAGCAACGCAATCTCCTCCGTTTCTTTGCAAACAGGAAAAAGGCACTCAAAAAAAAAGTCCATTATGAGCTTTTATCACAGCAACTGCTTTCATCAGTTGCCACAGCTCCTGATAAACACCACATTAGGGTGCTGCTCCTCCCACAATTCTGTGCAACACTTCAAAATGAAAATCAAACCTATGTGTGTGAAGCATGAAGGTAGAGTTCAGAGAGATCCCCCATTCAATGATGGAGGCTTAGATGCTTACAAGTGACTGAACCTAAACACTCTTTCAGTTTATAATGATCAGGTTCAAGCAGTCAGACTCTATCCAAAGATTAAATAGTTTTGCATATACAAGCAGCCATTTTTTTCTGCCTGAGAAACTCAGTCCAGCAGCAGGAATGTATACACCCTTCTTTTACTTACCATCATAAAGCTACCTAATAAAAGTTATCTCATCTCTGTGGTAAGACTTTTTGCATAGGAGGGGTATCAAAAAGCTATCATTAATCACAAAATATGCACGTATGTGTGTGGGGGGGACCTCATCAGTGACACCAGCACCTGCTAATCGCAAAAACAAGATCTACTTTTCACATTTTGTTCCCTCTCTCATGTAGTTGGCATTTAGCAATGGGTTTTTGATCCTAAAAATTATGTACAGACATTGCGCTTTCTAAGCGCGCCGCCTGTAAATGTAAAAGAGGATTGCAGCAGCTCCCGTTAACACTGCCAGTAATCCCAGAATAGACGCAGGAGACTGGTGTTCGGACTCAGAGCCCGTGGAGCCGTTCATGTGGTGGGATTCCTGCAAGACATAAAAAGGAGCAAAGATTAAAGTTGCACTGAGGGGATACTGACACAAATGTTTGTGGTGGACAGAGAAAACCTATCTTCTGTGGTTGTTTATACATGCGTGCACATACGCACACTTATTTTAAGCTCAACAACCGACGGAAAGTGAAACTCTCACGCGCAGTTCAAAGATGTTTATCTCTACAGGTATGTTCATGACATCACTGATTTGCATAACCGTCAGGAAACAGTTTTAACAGAAAGGATCTGATACGCTTGGAGGCGCACTGTACTGCACTAACTGGTAGCAGTTCTTCTTTATGTTTTGGTGTTTTTTGTTTGTATTGGCATTGCCAGACTTATTTTTTTGCTTATTTCTCACTTTGAATTCAAGAAACATTAAAAGATGCTAAAGGGCAATCAGCAATTTAAATTCCTCCAGCAGAGCTATAAACTTTTACAGACTTGTTTTGCATGATGCACCTCTCCGTCCTCCTTAGCTTGCAGCAGTGAGACTGTTTATAAAAACCTGCTGACACTCGCACATCACCACTACTCTTGTTACCAGTGAAATTCAGAATTAATTTTAAAATTGTCTTAATAACATAAAGCTTGAAACAATAATGCTCTAGAGCTACTGAGACCACATAACAAGCAGTCAGTCTCTCTGATCTGAGAGTGTAGCTCCTGACTCCTGACCTTTTTCTGTATAAGGAGCTCCACTTCCTCCCCAGCTGTCCGAAACAGCTCCACCACGGCTTTGTGTGTCCGGCCTTCTAGCACAGCTCCGTTTATCTAGAAATATTAAAGTTAATAAATAAATAAAAGCTCACTTCCAACCCGTTCTGCAGCATATATTTGGTTTCATTTTCTATTAGTGAGCTGTTAAGAGACAAGGCCATGGTGAATGCATGACATCTCTTCAAATGTGTCTTTTTCAGTCCAAAGCAAAAACATGACGCTTTTATTACCGAGAGGATCTTGTCGCCCTCCTGTAGTCTTCCGTCCTGGCCTGCAGCTCCATCTTCTTTGATTTTAGACACGTATACACCGCTGTCATTGTACACATACTGCTGGTCCACGCCCCCAACTATATTGAAACCCAAGCCTCAAAAGAAAACACATTAGTGTAATCAGTATATAATCAGGTTCACCAGACCAGCAGCTGCTGACCCAATCAATAATATTTATCCAAGTAGATCAAAGTTCAAGAGGAAATCTTCCAAAGCTGCACTGCTACTTAGACGAGCAGATTAAAAGCAAGACCAACCTGACAAAATGTTACATAACCGAGTGTAAGCGAGTCTGTAAAATAAATAAACCACTGGTGTCTATGAACGAGCTGCCCATCAGCGTGATAGGGCCGATAACTTTTAAAGATTTTAAAACTGGGTCAAAGTGCATAAATCAGCTTTTCCTTTGCAAATAAGGCAGCTGCTAATACTCAGTTGGCCTCGATAATCTACTTCCTCCATTTACGCCACAACGACGCGGAGGTTTGGTCGCTTTTATTTGCAAATTAGCCTTTAGCTTCAGGACACTGAGCACAGCCTGACAGCGATGATTTTTGCTAGCTTTCGCAGCTAGCTAGTGGTGCTATCCACTGGTAACAGTCCCACTAATTATCTCCTTACCAGCCGGTCCTCGCTTCAGCCTTATGGTTTCCACTTTGGAAGAAGTGTCCAGAGAGCCGTTCATTGTGTCCAAACGTCAACCTGGTAAAATAAATCTTCAGAGAAGAGGGACAAACTATGTATCTGAAGGTGAACTCATTGAGGAGTTTCGATTTGCTTTTTGGCCACCACCGGCGCAGACAGAGCTGTAACAGTGCCCCCTGACGGCAAGAGGCGGAACTCCAGGCTGATTTTCGAATTACAGGGCAGGGAGGCAAATCAGAGACAAGTTATTAAAAAATACTCGATATCAGAGTTAACGAGTGAAGGGAATGGGCTGAGGAGGTGCAAGGAGTGCTTTGAGGAGTTGATGAATAAAAGACATAAAAGAGAAAGGAGGGCAGATGGAGGTCAGTTAGTGAATCAGGGAGTGAAGAGAATTAGTAAGGAGGAAGTGAGAACAGATGTAAAGAGTGGAAAGGGTGTTGGTGACATACCTGTATAGATAGCTAGGCAGTGGAAAATGTACTGGTACAGATTTCCACGAATAAAAGTGATGTGCAAAGCAGTGTTGATGGACAGGTTGACAAATGAAGTCCAGTAGCAGGCTCTGTGAACGATGAGATTGTGAGCCCTACTGAGAGTAGGAGGCCAGTGGAAGAGAGTCTGGAGAGGTGGATGTATGCTCTGGTATGATAAGAAATTAAAGTGAGTAGAAGCAAGGCAGAATACATGTGTGTGAACGAGAAGGAGACAGGTGTAACAGTGAAGCTGCAAGGGATAGAGGTAG